GACAGACTAAAGAAAAGAAAAGAAACATATACCCATAGATATTGGAAGCGATTCAGAGACAGAGAGAACACAAGATCACTTCTGTACACACCCATACTCACAGACTAAAAGAGTAAGACATAAATGCCTATACACATGAAGATACACAGAGTGACAAAGACGTAGGTAAAGAATAAGAGCACACATAGAGACAATGAGAGAAACAAAGTCACATACTGGCACACCTGTCATAAGGGGAGAGAGAAGAGCACACACACAGAAGTACAGGCAACTAAGGAGGGTAAGGGAGGAAGTATAGAGAAAGAGTTGGAGAAAAGACTGAAGGAAGGGAAAAGCAGACAGAGGCCCAGAGACAGAGACAGCCGGAGACACAAAAAAGACCCAGACACAGAGGATTCTTGATTCCTGCAGTCTCTCGGTCTGGTCCCTCATGAGACCAAGCTGTACTTCCTCCCTGTAGCTTTCAAGATATATAACCCTGCATCTTTATGGTAAATAACCTTTTCTAGAGCTACCTTGAGTAAAGTGGTGTTTTTTCTTTTGTTTGTTTTGGTTTTTAACAAAATTACCTAATTGAGACAAATATGCTCTTAAAAACTGTAAAAACTGTAATTAATAGGATTTTTAAAAGCTCACCAAGTTGATTCTAACGACAGTGAAGGTTGAGAACCACTAACTAAAGTATGATACGGGAAGGACAGCTAGCCTAAGACATGGAGCAAACAATTATTTTATTTTATTAACTGGTACGATTACCTAGTATTAGGTTAACAGTACCTCATCAAAACATTTTAAACATAAAATGACTATATATATTTGCCCTCTGAATTATCAAACCTCTCTCAATTAGCAAACACCTACTTTATTATCTTCATTTCTTCCCTTGCATTTGAGAAGTATCTTTAGCATAGTGAGAACTCTGGAGGCACTGGTATTCTGCTGCTATATGAATTTAATAAATATAGCAAAGGAAAGTTCTTTAAAAAATTAACATTTATGAAAAAGCCTCATAATAACTGCTCAAAAAAAGCGTGTGCAAGGAGACAGGGACAAGCGAGTTGGGCACTAGCTCCACTGTCTTCCCCATTTATACTGATATGACTTTTATAGATGCTAAATTTGGGTCAAGAGTCACAGAGCTCAATGTCTATAAATATGGGAGACCCTTAAGTGAAAAGAGTGACTATCAATGAGTTCTTTCAGAGTGACAACAGAATAAGCAGTGCCACAGTAAGAATTTGGCTTATTTTTCAACTCTGGAAGAACCTATTTATACAGGAGTAACTGGCAACAGCACACACTGATGGGAATAAAGAAAAAAGTCATGTAAAAATATGAAGTATCTGCCCCTTCTCTGGGTAGCCAGCTCATATGCAATAAGTTCTATCTCTTTGACGAAATAATCAGGAACGTGAAACAGGAGTATGAGTTTTTGTCCCTCCACAACCACTAGGCCACAGTTGTCAAAAATATTGCAAAGACTCCAGGGACACCAGGGCTAGTAAACTTCAAAAAGTTTGTAGAAAAACAAAATTAAAAGATAACATGAATCTTTCCATGAACTTTTTGAAGACCCCTTCTATTAGGAAGGACAAGGGAAAGAACAGTGAACTGAGTGTGCTCAAAGAGAACCTGAATAGCAAGGGGCATGAGACCTTCAGTCACTGAGAGAAGTTTTCATGTGAGGAGATACACTAGAATTTATACACTGTCCATGTGCCACTGAGCAGTGCTGGTGAATTATCAGAGGGCTAAGACCCAAGCAAAGTGTATCAAGGCACAGTTCCCTAGCTTCTCCTAACCATGCTAGGCAAGCATGTCTCAGTAGAGTTGAAACATCACAAGAAAAGAAGTCTGCAACCCACGTGTCACATATGGGGAGTGTAATATTTGAGATGGGGAGATGGGAGGGATAGACTCCTTAGGACTACCTCAAATTTGTGCCAGACTGACAGACATGCTTCAGGCAAAACAGGATAGATACATAAATTTTAGATGCATAATAGAGTAAGAATAGAATTGAAAACCTCAATGAACTGATTCTGCAAAAAAGGGATGACAGATCAGAGACTGTAAAACAGGAGAAATATTATAGGTGCCAAATATTTTAAATGAGGGAGGGGATGATAAGTGGTAAAGTAATGCATTTGGAAAAGCTCTGTTTTTAGCTACTCTTTTAGACAAAATTAATAAAAAGAAGACTGATCTCAAGTTAAAGTTTTTAGCTGCTATTAATTCTGTTTTAAAATATGTTAATGTTCCCCTCTGTATAGGCAGCGGTGTCCTTAGAATTCAGTGATTTGCGTAAGCTAATCTTTTTATTTAACAGTATCCAAAGGATAGGTTTCAGAATGATGTTTCTGCTTTGGTCTAAGTACTTCCCAAATGGAAAAAAAATCCAAAGTACTTAACTGAGACCTAGAACATTTAATGGTACATAAAAAATAATTTCTTCTTGAAGCTTGCATTTGAAAGAAAAATGTGCGATCTGGCCAAGCAGACTACGTGATTATTTGGACAATGAAGAATTGAATAGTTAAGTACAATGAATTGAAATAGAGTTGGTACCATTAACTTAAAAATGTTAAAATCACTAATTTTTTTTACCTCAGACATAATATTGTTGGGGGTGGTAGACAGAAAAGACCTTGCTGGGCTGGAGCCCAAATAAGATAAATGGAGACAGAAACTGTGCTGGAGAATTGTTATCAAATAGCTCTTTTTCAAGACCATAGAGCATGGGAAATGATTTCCTGTATCTTTTCCTCTTTTCTTAAGTCAATTTGAAATCTTGCTTAAGGTGAAGATTCCTAAGGCTTCTAAGCAGTATATACATGGGTATTTCAAAAAGTTAATGGAAAAATAGAATTAAAAGATAATATGAATCTTTCCATGAACTTTTTGAAGATGCTTCATGAGAAGCCCACAAGCCTGATTCACATCCTGTCCCTGTTCTATTTTTTAAATAAGGAGAAGTTAAATGAATACACCACTTAGAAGAAAAGTCTATTATATGAGAAAAAAGATATCAGTACACTACTTATGAAAGTTTCAAAAGTTCTGGGCTCTGGGTACATGGGAGAAGAATGAGCAGTGGGAGTAGCCTACCTCACTCTGGGAGATATTTGACAGGGTTTGGGATATTTAGTTGTTATAAGAAACAAGGATGCCTTTAGAGAAGATAAGCCTGAAGAGAGAGCTGCTAGTGGGCAAAAGGCAAAAAGTCCAAGATGGACAAACTGGACAATGAGAGAGAGAGAGAGAGAGAGAGAGAGAGGAGAGAGAGAGGAGAGAGGAGAGAGAGGAGAGAGAGGAGAGAGAGAGAGAGAGAGTGTGAGTGTGTGTGAGTGTGTGTGTGTGTGTGTGTGTGTGTGTGTGAAGGCAACCTATGACAAAAAGAAATACAAATGTGAAGCCAAAGAGAGTAGTGATATGACCATTCACCAAGTATCCAGATGGACACAAACAGACTTGTGATTGTGGTCCTCACATCAAACTTATTGGTGACCCACCAGGGTAAAGAGTATAATAAAGTGAGTCAGAGAGTGAGATACTTTTTGGAATTCTTAGAAAGCTGCAGACAGAAATTTTGTGTAGGGACCTCCTTGGCTAGTCACTGATTTTGCTCTCCCCTTTATCATATCAACATGGCCTTGCTGATGCTGGGTTTGGGTCAAGAGCCAGCAATGTGCAGTGTTTACAAATATTCCTTTAAACACAGATTTATCACTGCCATTTCTTCCAGAAAGGTAACAGAAGCATGAGTGGAGGTAGACAGGCACATAGCAGTAAGTTACACCAGTTATTTGTCCTAGAGAGGATAATAGGCAAATGTGGGCTACGCTGCAACAATGGGCAAGAGAAGGGAATGAAAAGATAGGATACATCTGCTCCTAGTCTGGGAAGGCACTTCACTTCCAGTCATGTCTACATAAATTAGGAATCTAAAGTAGCTGTTTTTTACCAAAGAATTAAAAATACATGTAGAAAGCAAACACTTACTTCTGCCCATCTTTTACAAAGCCTTTTAAAGAAGATCCTCTGTTAGTAGCAACTGCTTTTCCACCAAGACCAACTATGAGAGCTGTAAGTACAGCACTCTTCCCACCTACAGAAACAGGTATTGAAGAAATCAAATTCAGTAAAGAGAAAAGGCTGATTTCTACAATCTGATACAAAGATTTCTGAATGAAATAGTCTCACCCTGAAATAAAATGTTATAACTTTCTTCCAGTGCCAAAATAGCAAACTCAAAAAAGTTGTATATATCATAAAATATTAGACAAACTAATTAGAAAAACCATTAGAAAAAAATTAGTCCATTTCAGGAATCAAATTTTTGCCATTAACAAGGAGTAGAAAAAATTGTTGTGATTTTCCAACCTGACACTCACATTTTATCCTCTTGGCATATCAGCCTAACAAATGACCTTATTTCTCTATACATACATACTTTATTCACAAAATTTTAAACTATCTTTAGTATCACTTGAATGTAAGCTCCATATGGACAGAAATGTTGTCTCTTTCATTCAATACTATCTCACCAATATCAGCACATAACAGGCATTGCATGTTTTTTGAATGAACGAATAAACTTAACCAGGAAAAAATTAGCAAAGTCATGTAGATTTTTTTTATGGAATATTTTGACAATTATTATTCCTAACTTGAATATTATTCATTTTCTAACTCTTTGAAGAATTCCAAAATCCATAGAAAATAAGAGAATATAATAACCATTTTCTTAACTATATGATCAACTAATCCAATCAACTTTTATCAGCCCATTGTCTTCCACAATATACCCACAATTAACCAAAACACATCACTGATTAACCCTATTTAGTTCCTGGAACACCTTTCAAATTGCTATTCTCTCTCCCCTTTCTTCATTACTCAATGCACTACCTCCACTACTTGCATTATTTCCCCTTCTACTAAGTTTTATTAATAAAGTCATTTTTCAAAGGTTAAAAAAATAAAGAAAAAAGGAGAAAAGACCTAACTTTAGAACCCACCAGTCTTTCTTTACTTCTTGTCCCAGGTCACCTCCCTGTAGCATTCATTCCTTTGTTTGTCCTTCCCTTCCTCCTAAAAACACCCTCTTCTTGACTGAATAATAGAGTAGGGAAAACAGAGAACAAGAAATGGACTGTGAAGATACACATTCTAAGCTTCCTATTTTAGCACTGTCACCAGTTGGTAGACTCTGGCAAGCCTCTTCTCCCATTGTACTATCTCAGTCAGGCTGTCAACACTCATGCCTGTCTGGTCTATCACAGAACTGCCTAACTGGTCTGTCTCCTACTTTCCCCCTTCTAATCCATCCTTCAAATTATGGTCAGTTTGTTTCACAAATCTCGACCATATCATCCCTTACTCAAAAACTTCAATTGGCTTCCCACTGACTTCTGAATAAAACTCCAGGATCTTTATCATAACATTCAAGATCCTCCACCTCCACTTTCATTGGTCACAACAGTGAGAATTTGTTACTTTCTGTTTCGATTCCCACAACACTTCATTTGTCTTCTATTACAACACTGTGTTGAAGTAAGACACTAGGGCTGCCTCAATCGCACTGAGGATTGCCCATTCTCCCTTCTATAGTACGGATTCCAAGGTAAACGGATTAAATAAGCAGAAAATGTTTATCCCTACCGCTTTAAATGATAAACCTAAAATTAACTCATCTTCTTTAAGTGAAGACAGGCAGCAAATACTGAGAATATTCATAACCACAAGTTATAGATCTATAAACCAAATATTTATCAGCACTAAAACACCTCTTCAAAAAGTTAATGTATTCTAATCTCAAAGTATTGCTCAAAATCAAATGAGAACGGCAGAAGCACTTACTTCCATTGTTGCCAACAACAAAGTTGACATTAGAACCAAATTTAAAGGGTCCAAGCATCGAATGACACATGAAGTTTCTAAGCTGAATACTTTCAATTATTCCAACTTCTGCTGCAGTCTATTAATTAAAAACAATGGAAGAAAACAATTTAATTCATTCATTATAGTCATCCAAGCATTTATGGCAGGAGAAAGACTAGCAGTCTTAACCAATGGAAAAAGTTACAGAAAGTGAATAATAGTAACATCAATGAATGAGATAGATGAAATTAAACGGGAACCTTCTGAGTCACCATTCACTCTAGAATCTTTAAAGGATCTAATAACAGTATTACAAAGTTTCTTAATATTGACAACACTCATATTTTAGATCAGAAATTTTTTTGGTGGAGGGCATCTGTCCTCTGTATTGTAAAATGTTTACCAACATCCCTAGCCTATACCCACTAGATGCCAGTAGCACATATCTTTCCCTCAGCTGTGACAACTAAAAATATATCCAGACAGTGCTGAATGTCCCAGGGCAGTGGGGAGGTGTGCAAAATCCCCCCTGGTTGAGAACTATTGGTACAACAAAACTTCCTGTAAAATACAGAACTATATTTAGAACATCTCTGAAAGATGACTATCTAGCCATGGTTTGAACAATGAATTCACTATGTGACATGGTAGTACATTTCATAAATGGACAATTCAAAGAGGAGAGAACATATTCTTAAAAGGTAAAGTCTGCTCTTCTTGTGACTTTCTATATCTGTCACTGATAGCTGTGTGACTTTTGGCAATGTATAAAGAATATACAGTTTCCAAAGTCATACAGTAAAACAAAAAATAATTCCTATACTGTAAATACATATCAGCATTAAATTAGAAAAGGTTTATAAATGCCTTAACTAAGAGTTTGGCACACAGTAGTCACTTGCATGTAGTTATCTAAGTGCCAGAACAAATCAGCCATATTTTACCAGAACTTCCAACATTTTTGAAGACCACTTTGATGTCTCTAGCTATTTTAATGGTTTCTTAAAAAAACTCCCTGGCTCTCTTGTTCTGGACACACATCTTATTAAAAAGAAAACTTTTATATCCTTGCATAAAGAGAATACCAGAAATATTGGTTGAAAAATTTCTTAAATATATTTTTGAGATAATCACAGATTCACATGCAATTATTAAGAAATAATGGAGAGATCCTACTTACTTTTCCTCAGTTTCTGTCAGGGCTAATGTCTAGCAAAACTATAGTACAGTATCACAACTAAGATACTGATATTGATACAGTGAAGATACAGAATATTTCCATCATCATAAGGATCCCTCATGCTGCCCCTTTATAGGCATATTGATATCCCATCCAATCTACCCCCTCTTTAACTCCTGACCCACTAATATTCTCTATTTCTATAACTTTGACATTTCAAGAATGCTAAATAAATGGAATCATACAATATGTAACCTTTTGGGATTGGCTTTTTTCACTTAGCCTAATTCTCTGTTATTGCATTTATTAGAAGTTCATGCCTTTTTATTGTTAAGCAGAATTTCATAGTATGGATGTACCACAGTATGTTCACTCACTGAACGACATCTGGGTTGTTTCCAGTTTTGGGCTATTACAAGTAAAGCTGCTAAAAACATTCACGCACTAGTTTTTGTGTGAAAATAAATCTTCATTTCTCTGGGACAAAGGCTGGCTACATATGGTAACTGCATGCTAAGTTTTTTAAAGAAACTGCCGAACTGTTTTCCAGAGTGGCTGTATCATTTTACATTCCCACCAAGTATCAGTAATTCAGTTTCTCGGCATCCTTGCCAGCATTTCATGTTGTCACTATTTTTAACGTCAGCCCTTCTGATGGGTAATGTAGTAGTATTTCACTGTGGTCTTAGTATGCATTTCCCTGACAATGAATGACATTGAACATCATTTCATGTGCTTATCTGCCACTTGTATATGCTCCTCTTCAGTGAAATCTCTGTCTTCCGCCCATACTCAAATTGGATTGTTGCTTTTTAAATAAGTTTTGAGAGTTCTTTACATATTTGATATCAACATTTTGTTGGATATGTGGTTTGCAAGTATTTTTTCCCAGTCTGTAGCTTGACTTTTCATCCTCTTAAAAGAGTTGCGGAGCAAAAGTTTTTAATTCTGATGAGGTCCAATTTATCAATTTTTCATTTTATGATTAGTACATTTGGTATCAAGTCTAAGGATTCTTTGCCTCATCCTATATCCCAAAGATTTCTCCTATTTTTCTCCTAAAAGTTTTATAGTCTTACACTTACATTTAAAAATCCTTTACCTAACCTGAGTTCATTTTTATGTAAAGGTATGAGCCGTGGGGTCAAGGTTCATTTTTTTGCCTATCAATGTATAATTGCTCCAGCACCATTTGTTGAAAAAGCTACCTTCTCTTCCACTGAACTGCTTTTGTACCTTTGTAGAAAATAAGTTCACTATGATTTGTATGGCTATGATTTGTATGGTTCTGTTTCTCTGTTCAGAAGAGATTCACTGTTCTGCTCCAGTGATCTAGTGTCTTCTCCTATACCAATACCACATGATCTTGATTACAGTCACTATGGAAGTCTTGAAATTGAGTAGATTGATCTCTCCCACTTCATTCTTTTTCAAAATTGTTTTAGTTATTCTAGTTCATTTGCCTTTTCATACAGATTTTATGATAAGTTTGCTTATATCTACAAAAAATCTTGCTGGGATTTTGATATGAACTGCATTAAACCTGTATGTCATTTGGGGGGGAGAACTGACATCTTTTATATGTTGAGTCTTACAATCCATGAATAAGCATATTTCACCATTTATTTAGATCTTCTTTGATTTCTTTACATCAGTATTGTACAGTTTTCAGGATACAAGTCCTGTATATTTTGTGAGATTTAGACCTAAGTATTTCATTTTTTATAAAGATTGAATTTTTTTTGAGCAGTTTTAGGATCACAGGACAATTGGGAGAAAGATACAGAGATTTTCCATATTTCCCTTAGCCCCATACATGAATAGCCTCCCCCATTATTATTTTTTATTGAAAGATAATTTGTTATACATATTTGTGGGGTACAAAGTTGACTATCAACAGTTGTATACAATGTGCGATGGTCAAAACAGGACAGTTAGCTTATTCATCATTACAAAACACAATCATTCTTGTGTCCGTTAACCAATTTCTCATTAATTTCTCATTAGCCTCCCTCCCTCTTCCCTTTCCCTCCCCCTTTCCACCTCTAGTAACCACAGTTCAAAAGTTCAATATATTATTTTGATTGTTGTTTCTTTCCTTCTCTCTCTTTATTGTTGTTTATTTACTTATGAATTCCACTCCCACATATGAGTGAGGACATGCAGTATTTCTCTTTCTGTCCCTGGTTGTTTCACTTAGCATAATTATCTACAGGCTCATCCATGTTGCTGTGAATGGCAGAATTTCATTCTTTTTCATGGCTGAGTAGCCTCCCCCATTATTAACATCCCCCACCAGTGGTACATTTGTTACAACTGATGAACCTACACTGACACATCACTATTACCCCAAGTCCATAGTTTACATTAGGGTTCACTTTGGATGTTCTACATTCTATGGGTTCGGACAAATTTATAATGACATGTATTCACCAGTATAGTACCATAAAGAGTATTTTTACTACCTTAAAAATCCTCTGTGCTTTGCTTATTCATCCTTCCCTTTCCTCAACCCCTAACAACCATTAATCTTTTGTCTCCACTTGGCTTTTGCAGAATGCAATATAATTGAAATCACACAGTATATAGCCTTTTCACATTGGTTTCTTTCATTCAGTAATATGCATTTTTGTTTCCTCCATGTCTTTTCACAGTTTAATAGCTCATTTCTTTTTAGCATTGGATAATATTCCACTGTTAAGATGTACAACCGTTTATTTATCCATTCACCTACTGAAGAACATCTTGGTTGCTTCCAAGTTTCAAAAATTATGATTAAAAGCTACTATAAACATTCGTGTACAGGTTTTTGTGTAGACATAAGTTTCCAACTCCTTTCGGTAAATATTAAGGAGTACAATTGCTGGGTGGTGTGGTAAGGGTATGTTTAGTTTTATAAGAAAACTGCCAAACTTTCTTCCAAAGTAGCTTTACTATTTTGCATTCCCA